CACTTCCTTTTTTCAGCCCTTTCTTTTCTCTTTACTCCCTCTAGATGAAGTGTTTTACAAGCTGCACTGTGTGTCTGAGGCATGACTCATCTGCACCTGGCTTGTAGCTTAAAGGTACATGAGATGCTAACTGCTACAGCCATGGTCCAGCCAGGTTTGCTGACAAGTTAGTCCAGGTTTTGTTAAATTCTGAGTGGTTCCAAGACAGAAGCCAGGATCTAGGACACTACACTATGCCTGTTATTTCTATCTCAGACTCCTCTCCTTATGGCTGACCCAGTTTTGCTATGGGCATGACAAGTTCCCCTTTTATAGCTGGATTAAGACCAGGACACCTGTCTGGCAGCACCTGGTGGAAGCAGCTTTCCTCCAACCTGATCTGCCTCTGGCTGTACTTGCTATGTATAGAGAAGGCAAGAGCAGTGGCCAAGCCCAAGTTAGTGACAGCATGTTCTTCGCTCTCCATAAGACTCCTCCAAGGAATTGCAGCCAGAGCTACTACAGTCATGCTGAGTTGCTCACTCAGGTGTTTTGACTGCTTTTGCTGTACTTATTAATGAGAACCAGAATCGGGGGCAGGCTGATCCATGGGGAACTGCACTGGCACACATTTGGGGTCAGCTCACCTGTTCCTGTGGACTCAGTGCTAGGTCAGGTCTGTTATTAGTCTGAGACTATGGCATCTTCCTCTGGAGCAGGTCAGAAATGCAGAGCACCACAAAGCCCACCAGCATAATTTCATTGGGCTGTTGATTTTCTCTATCCACATGTTGTAGGTGGTTAAAGGGACTGTGCTGCTTGTCAAGCACGACTCTGGCCTGGGAACTGGGTAAGACCTGTGCTTCAGGGTCTGAAATGTGAGCTCATCTCCTAGGGAGGTTTGCCTTTGTAGGCTGAGTACACTTCACCCCTGCCACACTTGCCTCTTCCTCTAGCTCCTTCCAAGGCCAAACAACTCATGTCCCCCATCTCCTGGGCACCCATGACTCTCTTCCAATAACACAGACACCCTGATTGCTTGTTTGACAGGAGTGTTATTTCTCTGTAGGCTGCTGTTAAATGTTTGTCTAGAGGGGCCAAGGGAGGCTGAGATCCAGCGGAGAGGCCTTGTAGGGACCAGGTGCAGCTGCAACCAGGATGTGCTTAGCAGCTTAGGTGGGTGAAGCAGGAGTGTTAGTAGCAAAGCCTGAAGAGTTAATTTCTAGACCCTACAATATCCCTCTTCTTCTGGGCCCCTCTCTTGCCCCCTTGGCTGAACCAGCAGGGGGAGGGGGAACTCGTCTCCACTCCTTGAAGGCAGCAGCTTAGGATGGGGACACTGCTTGGGGTTTACAAGAGTCAAACAGCCAGCAGTCTTCCTTTCATGCTGGCAGGTCCATGCAGTGGCCGGGCGAAGAGAGAGCAGGGAGCTTGATGCTAACTTCTGGCCACCTGCTGTTTAGGGCTGTCCTCCTGCAGGTCCTCCTCATCTGACTGCACCACAGGAGTCTCTGCCCCTTCCTCACTGGTGTCCAGGCTGTTCAGGTCTGTGGAGGCAGAGGATGTGGATGAGATCCGCGATTTGATCTCAGTTGTGTCGGGCACTTGCAGGGTGATCTCATCAGGGCATTGGCTGGGATCTGTCAAGCAGGGAGAATCCAAATAAGGAAATACAACTGGCAGGTCTGGACCCTGATGGGCTCTGTGCCTGGCCCCATCATCTCCCCCAGCCCTGCCAATCCCAGTTAGTGGAGGGTCCTGGGTTTGTGCACTGCACTATTTCAGGGATGGGGTGCAAGGCTCCTAGGAGTCTGGGCATGAAAGATGAGGCAACAGCCAAGAATTTTTCCTGCCAGGAGAACTGGAGCTTGCAGGGGTATGGGGGAATCTGAAGATCACCGGGTTTTCTGTGACAGAGAGATGCCAGCTCCCTCCAGACAAGTGTCAGCTACTGACCCTGGAGCCCCACTTCACTCCTCAGCAGGAGCTAGCTAGCTCCCATTCCCAAATCCCAGCCTGGCTGCAGGGCATGGGCCTCACATTCCTTCCCTGAGTTTTTTGGCAGTGAAGCCTTCCTTATTTAGTTGGTGGAAGCTGGCCTGGAGCTGTTATGTGTGAGGTCTTTTACTGGAGCTTGGCAGAAGCTACTGGTAAAGGGGCTTGACTCATTCCCTGTGTGAATCATTGCAGCAAGTGTGGAAGGGGGGAAGGAGTCCTGGTCTCCCTCCTCATGCAATGACCCAGCACCACTGTGAAGTGAACTCAACACAGGGTGTCTGGGGTCAACCTGGTCATCTGCATCCTGAAAGGTTGCAGATGACACCAAGCTGGGGGGAGTAGGGCTTCTGATACACTGGAGGGTAGGGATGATTGCTCGTCTGAGAAGCTGATTTGCTTCTTTATTTCTCTATAGGATTCAGAGTGACCTAGACAAATTGGAGGATTGGAATCCAAAAGGAATCTCATGAGGTTCAACAAAGACAAGTGCAAAGTCCTGCAACAGTCCCTAAGAAGTGCAAGAACAATCCCATGCACCAGGACAGGCTGGGGGCTGACTGGCTGGGCAGCAGCTCCGCAGAAAAGGATGTGGGGGTTACAGTGGACAATAATAAGCTGAACATGAGCCAGCAGTGTGTCCTTGTCACCAAGAAGGCTAATTGCATACTGGGTTGCATTGGTAGCAGTGTTGCCAGTACATGAAGGGAGGTGATTCTTCCCCTCTATTCAGCACTGGTAAGGCCACATCTGGAGTATTGTATTCAGTTTTGGGCCCCCCACTACAGAAAGGATGTGGACAAATTGGAGGGAGTCCAGTGGACGGCGACAAAAATGGTGAGAGGGCTGCGGCACATGACTTCTGAAGAAAGACTGAAGGAACTGGGCTTATTTAGTTTAGAGAAGAAGAGACAGGGAGGGGACTTAATAGCAGCCTTCAGTACCTGAAGGAGGGTCCAAAAGAGGATGGAGCTGGACTGTTCTCAGTGGTAGCAGATGGCAGAACAAAAAGCAATGGTCTCAAGTTGCAGCAAGGGAAGTTTAGGTTACATATTAGGAAGAATTTTCTCACTAGGGGGTTAGTAAAACACTGGAACAGGTTACCCAGAGAGGTGGTGGAGGCTCCATCCTTGGAGGCAGGGCCATCCCTAGGGAAAGGTGAATTAGGGCGACCGCCCTGGGTCCTGCGGATCTGAGTGGAGCGGCCGTGGCAATTCTGTGCTGGTGCCGGCTTCCTGTCTGGCCTTTTGACACCCGGCACCGGCCCCCCGCTGTTGAATCCCCTGTTGGCTTCCTTGCGTCTGGGGGCAGGGCCCCGCACAGGCCGATTTGCCCCATGCCCTGCTTGAGTTGTCTCTACTTGGAGGATTTCAAAACCCGGCTAAACAAAGCTTTGGCTGGGATGATCTAGTTGGGGATGGACTAGATGACCTCCTGAGGTCCCTTCCAACCCTAACTTTCTATGATTCTGTCTCCCCTGTAATTCTCTAGTCCCAGGAGTGGAGGCTGTAGTGTACACAGGACACAGGTATTTATACAATAGCATTGTTCCCTATGATCCATGGTATAAGATTTGAGGTAAATAAAACTTTGCCCTTCTGTACTGCAGCCTCTGGAGGCCACAGTGGTGCTGGCTCTGGTAGAGAGCAGTGCCGGTAAGGAGCAGTGCCAAGAGGGAACTTTCCGACCCAACAGGCCAAAGCTGCAGGCAGTTTCTTTGGTATTTCCCTTTGGATCTGGAAAATCACAGGAGAGATTGAATAGGCCTAGAGAGCTGAGCTGTTGCAGTCAGGAGACAGCTAGCAGGTAAGGAAGCATATATCCTCAGACTATACATACCTGGCAGGGGACTGGCAATGTTGTTGTCCTCTGCCCCACAGCTGAGAAATACATCCACAGTGTCTTGGTCAGAAAGGTCTGTCAAGTCCACCTGCTCCAGCATGTCCACATTCACTTCCATGGAGGAAATGCTGCCTAGGGGAGCTGCAGAGACAGACCAGAAAGCCAGAGGAATACAGGGTGGGGGTCATTCCTTAAACCAGGAAAACAGTCTCAGGCCAGCCTGGTGCCAGCAACATGAGAAGACAGTGCCAGAGAAAACACTGTGGTATGCCTTGGTTTCATGCCTACTAGAACAGGACAGTCCTGGGGCATGGTTGGCTGGTCAAGGGAGCAGGGAAAGAGCCCTGAGGGTGACAAGCTGTCGGTGTTGAAAACTTAGCTCTATTTCACTGGTAAGAGGCATGGGGAGGAATTCTGCTTCTGTTTCTGAGGTACCTAGGCATCTGACTCTGCGCTGTTCACACGATATGTAAGCTGACAACCCTGCGCGTGGCATGCTGGTATCTGATCCTTCTCTGTATGTCACGTGTTGCCTAGCTTCCTGTCCCTCCAGGTTGTTGGGACTGGGAGCTCCTCAGTGCAAGGACCACTGTTCTTTCCATGCAGCACTGAGTATGTGGCATCAATATAATCATGTAATTCTCAAATAATAAACTGACGCATAGCTCTGAACAGGATTTTTTGTAATGTCCTTTCATGCGCACCCCTCCCCGCCATCACTGCCCAGCACAGACACCTTCCTCCCCAGCACTGGCCAGCACTTACGTCTCCTGTGCTCTATTTGCAGGTGGGACATGGGGAAGAAGAAATCCACCTCATGCTGGAAAACCTCCTCAAAGAACTTCTGCCTGTCACGCAGTTTGAGCTGCTGCTGCTGCACCTGGTCGGAGTCCAGTCCACGCTGCCCGTGCTCCATGTTGGCTGGAGAAGAACGAGATGGGAGGTCAGGCCCAAGCCAGCAGTAAGATGGGGCATGAGGTACCTTTCACAGCCAACAGGAGGCTGCCTCCTTCCTGCACTGTCAGTGGTCTAACTCCATTTTACCTGTGGGGAGTGTATGCTGATTTGCTAACTGTGGGGCTGTGCAGGCCAGGAGTTGCTGATTCTGACTCCAGCCTGGAGTCAACAACTGCAGCAAAAGCCTGATAATTTGGACATATGTATTCCCTTCCTCCTAGTCTCCAGGCACTCTATAAATAACTCTTCTCTCCTCTGTGGGAGAAGGTTAGTATTGTTAGACCCATTTTCCAGAGAGGGGAACTGAGACAGGCAGCATGAAAGTACCTTGCCTAAGATTAGACTGTTAGGAAAGAACTTGTAACATGGAAGTCTCTCTTAGCCAGTAGTAGTAGAGGAAGGTGACATTCAGCACCCTGCCCCATGCTGCAGGGAGTCTCTGGGGTGTGTGACACAGCAGACACAGCTCTGGACTTTCCCACTTTGTTACCCAGGGCAGAATTACTGAGCGAGTTGTCTCTGTGCATTACCATGCAGGAAGGGGAACTGACATTCGAATCTTACTGAGCTGAGAAATGTGACAGGAATAACATGACATTAACTGCCGCTAGCCCTGCCTGCCAACAGATACCCTCCCTACCCCAGTTCATGAGCACAGCCCCATCCTCGTGGAGGACCTCTTTCATTCCCACGCAGACAGTGTAGATCCTGCCAGTACAAACATTTGCATTCTTTTAATTCTTCTCATGGCTCAGCTCTTCCCCCAACGATGACAGGGAGCCCTTGTGGGCAGAGGCTGGAGCTCTCTGCTTAGAACCAGAAGGCTGAGGGCCAATTTTTCCTGCTCATGTCAGAGGCCTGACTCAAGATCCCTCCCCCAGAGCAGCAAGCTAAGGACCAAAACCCCCAGACAGCAAAAACCTTGCAGCCCATCCAACTTATTCCAGCAGCTGCCTGGATGCTGCCAGGCCAGAGTCTCACCTCCACCAGTCCAGACATCCTCCCCGCTGTTCTCAGTCAGGCCAACACAGAAAAAAATGTGATGATTGAATTGGACTGTACAGTAACCATGGAAACTAAACAAACATCCTTTACTGTCCCTGTCCTAGCACTGACCAAGCCCTACTGCTGTGCTAGAGGGTGTGTGCAGGGGGGCGGGGAGTGGGGAGGTGTGGGGGTGTTGCAGCAGACAACTGCCCAAGAGCCCCACCCTGTCTGGCAGGGAGGCAGGGGCTGTGCCTATATCAGGAACAATGTGATGATGAGACATGATCACAGAGGAAAAATATCTTAGACAGTCCTGAGGAAATGCCTCAGGTCTTACCTCCCCCACAAAGACCCCCACGCATGGGAGCCTCTCAGATCTCACCTCTCCCCACCTCCAAATACCTGTCTGGGCTGAACTTCCCTACCCCACCCTCTCCTCTGCAATATGCAAAGCAAGACCTGGTTGTCAGGTCTGCCCAGCCTGTGCTCATTTCTGCGTCTGCCTGTCCCATTACAGCTGGGTCCAGTGCCATGAGTTAGCCAGCCTGGGAGTGGTTCTGACTTCCCCACTTACTGCAGTCTGAGTGCTCAGCTCTGCTCCTGCGGCTGCCTGTCCTTGTGCCCATTTCCAAGGGACGGGACTGCCGGTTTGGACAAGTGTCCACATAGCCCAGCTCTCGCACTCTGCCAAGACTCTGAGCCTGGTGTGCAGACAGCACCTTAATAATAGATCAAGATTCAGCCCACTGTGCTTCCTCTGCTGGCTTCCAGCTGCTGCAGCGCAAGCCTCATGCACCAGGAGCCCTTGGCACAGGGTGATTCAGAACCCAGACTCCTCCACCATCAGTCCACAGCCCCAGGACAGTGTGTGACATGGTCTGTCTGGGAGCCAGGGGATGGGGGTGGGGGCACAGCTAATGCACAGGCAGGGAGGAGGAGACTGGGGCAATGTAATTATAGGGTTGCAGGCTGCACAGACAACAGGTTAACCCTGGAGGATTGTGGCTCAGGTAATTCTGGGCCCCTTTAGCCAGCCCTGCTGGTAGTTAATGACAGAACTCAGCTGCTTTGCACCTGCTCTGCTATTTGCTCTCATCAGGGCAGAATCACCAGCTTACCACTCTTTCAGTGAGCCTGCAGCTGTTATGGTGCTGGAATCTGTGGCTAACTGGCTGTGTTGGCCTATGGCTTATCACAGCTTTCCCAGGAAACTTGGCCAGCAATTCAAGCATCAGCTAGTGCAAAAAGGCCAGGGCTTAAGTCTTGGAGCTTTAGATAACTCTAGTGAAATGCCTGACAGCCAGGTGACAATTCAGAGAGCGTGATCCTGGAGTGCCTGCACTAAGTCTTCCTGTTTTCTCTCTCAGTGCTTTCCAGCCGATGGCAATGGGAAAGAAATCCCTTCTTACATGACATCCTCTCCCATTGCTGAGGGGGGTGAGTTCCAAAACCACAGCCCAGTAAAGAACAGAGACCCCCTTCAAGGTTACCTTCCTTCTGCCATAAGATCTTGGGTCTGGAGAATGTCCATGAGGGTAAATAATCCCCAGCTCTGTGATTTGTGTGGCAGGGAGTGTGGCTTGGCTCTGGCACTGGAGTCAGGAAACCAGTGTTCTAGCCTTGGCTTTGGCAGTAACCCGCTCTGTGGCCTTGGGCAACTTCAGTTTTGTTTCTCCTTCCACAGCTTGCCTTGACTAATTAGACAATGAACACAATAGGATATGTTCTTATCCTCTGTTTGTACAGGACCTAGCACAGCAGAGGGATGTAGACAGTGGTATGACTGTGAAACACAACAGCACAAACATAGCAGCCTTGAGACCCAGAAGCTGACATGTTGCAACTTTCCTTTCTAATGGAGCAGCGAGTGCCGTGTCACCTGCACCAGTGTTCTACAAAAGGCAGATTCTACTTTTGAGGTATTCTGCACTCATTTTTTTTTTGGCTCATCTCTCCTCCCATCGCATGATAGTTATGACCATAGGAACATTCAATGGAGCTGATAGGCCATTGGTACTGACATACTGCTTTCACTCATGCACTGTACTGGAGCCTGAATGAGGGAGATGCACTGGGATGTACATCCCAGTTCCATTAGCAAACCCATTTACAAATGCCTTTCGTTAGCCAGCTGGGCAGCTGGCCACGAGCACTGACATTCCATTATGTAACCACTGCAGGCCTTAAGCAACATATGCAGCTGGGTGACTGGGCCTGACGGACCCGTGACCGCTGTGAGACCCAGAGATGGAGCCTCCTTCCCACTCCCTGTCTCCCCTCCCTCCCTCCTTCCCATTCCCTGGGGCTCCGTTCCTGCATCTCGGGCATTGTAGCAGGCAAACAGCTCAGCTCATGTCCCCACCACTGAACAAGTGCCATTGAGCAAATAAAAGAGAGAAACGCTCCCTCTCTGCCTTACTCCATGTGACTGGTCACATTCTCCTTCCCCATCAATCGCGGGGATTGCCTCATTGGGATGGCATGTTCCCACCAAGTGACACATTTGTGCACAATGCAGCCCCTGTGCGCTGCAGGGAATTCAGTCGGGTTCTTCAATACCTGCTGGTGGTCTCTTTCAGCAGCCACTTACGAGGCTCATGCACATTCACACTGCCATTCCCAGATCGCTGACCCCCCAACACACTTCCCTGGCAGGCTTGCAAGAGCATGAAATAACACCAGGCTCCCTGCTGCCTTCAAATCCTTCCGGCTCTTGCTGCTTCTCAGGCACCAAAGCTGACAGAGGAACTGGGCCTGAATGTCTCTGTGGGGCTGGAAGGGGCCTGCCAGCCCCGTGGGAAGGAAACAAATGGGGATTTCCTTGTAATTCCCCATTGGCAGTCCCTGCCAGTCCTAGGAGGCAATGTGAGGAGCAGGAGGGGATGCACTTGGCTGTAGGGAAGCCCCAATCCCACTCTGGTTCAGCCGGGGCTCCCAAAAGGACCAGGGAAGAAGTGTTGCCTGTGCAGCAGGCTGAAGCGTCAGGTCTTTCTGTACGAGCTACTACAGAGACTAATAGCAGAAAGCTCAGGGGTGAAAGGAGCTTCCACCTCCTCCCTGAAGGAGACACGATTATAGGAGGGCTGGCTGCATAGAGCTCACAGCCATTCCACTCATGCCCACTCCCAGGGGGATGTGACAGGAGCACTAACTGTGGTCACATCTCCGAGACTAGGGATGAAAGTAGCCCCAGGGGTGTGGTGGCTGAATGGGTTCTTCGCAACAGTGAGATCTTCTAATCAGCACCCTGACCGGAGAGCTAAGCCATGAAGGATTTTCTGGCTGTGCTTGCACTGGGAGGACACACATTTGTTGTTTTTCTTTGTCTTGCTAAGTTTGAGTACAACCCCCTCTCTGTGTAGCAGACAGCATGAATGGGTGTGGAGGGGAAGACGAGAGGGCTTAAAAGAGGTGCAGGGCCAAGAGAGAATGGTGGGGGGCATTATTTCTTCAGCTGATGTCTCTTTAAATCTCTTGAAAACTTCCCAAGAGATTAAAAAGACAGACAAGGCTTTGAAGAATGGTACTGCAGTAGGGGATCACTGAGGAGGCTGACAGCATATGTGGAGGGGATGGAGAGTCTGCTTGCCAGGGTACAGGCTGGTTTTCTATGGAATGACTTCAAGGAACCCAGCTTTCTCTGTCCACTCTGTAGCTGGATCTTTGTCCCCAGCTTTGCTCCAAGGCCCCCACCACTGCAGGGGGACATACAGGCCCCAGTCCCACTGTTGCTGGAGAAAACCACAAAGCTCTGGGTGTCAAGCTGAGCTTCCAGAGGGGAACAGGCCAGAGGCACTGTCCATGGGAGTGCTCACAACTATTGTAGTCAGTCCCTCCTAGCAACAGAGCCCTGGGAATGACCCCATGCAGGAGTAAGCTGCTTAGTGCTCCTGTATGCATTCTCCCTCTCGGGCTTCAGCTCTGGCCTCATACTGCAGCAAAAGCAAAAAATAAACCCAATCCCAGGGAGAGGAAGTGCATGAGGAGGGAGGGAGGGAATTGGTGGCTTTGGCAGAGACAGGGAATGGGAGAAGACAAGCAGGGGGAGAGCGGGACTGTGCTGGGGGAGGAGGTGGCACCCTGTGACCCTCATCTGTGACACCGATTCGGAGAGAACGCTATTCCAGCCAATCTTCAAATCTTCAGTGTCTCAGCACTAAAAATATCCCCACAGCCCAGAGGCTGTGTCACAAGACCCTGCTATTTACAGGGCCTGATTCACTTTATATAGAACTGTGAGCGGGATAAAGCCATGAAAGCATTAGAGAGGGCGAGAGGTAGTAAGGAGGCCCCTCACCCACCAGGAGAGCGTGATGTAGCAGCCGGCACTGGGCCCAGTCCCCTCGCCCCTCTAGCTCCATCTGAGAGGCAGGTTGAAGAAGCCGGCCTGCAACCTTACAGTTCCTGTCTGGTTCATCCTGACCCTGCCGAGACCTTCACTGACCACGCTGTCCTGGCTCCAGGGAGCACCTCTCGGAACAAATACAGCCTCAAGTCCTGCTGCTCTCACTACCTCCATAAGCCGAAGCAGGAACTTCGCCTTTCCAGGCTGGGCCCAACCCCCCCAGCAAGTCCTGGGCCCCGTGCTTGGCCAGGCCTGGTGCTTGATGCTTGAAAGGAAAGTAATCGCTCCCCATCCCAACCACAAAGAATGTGCCCAGACCAGGAGCTCAGGGCTCCTCAGGCTACCAAGTGCAGAAGCTTAAGCTTGGACCTTCCCATTCACAGCATATAACAACTAGTAACGATCTTGTTGCTGACAAAGCGCTGCAAGAGGATGGTGCTGTCAGCTGCTGTGAGGCATGGGAGAAGGGGGCTGGTGCGTGGGGAGCTGAGGAGCAGGGAAATAGGGGCTACAGAGCTGAGTGTGGGCATGGGAGCGGCTGGTTGATGGGTGAGGGAGAGGCGTACTGTGTGGGAGGGGAGGGAGAGGAGCTGGTGGAAGGGCCCTGTGGGAGAGGGGGTTGATGGGAAAGATGG